ATACTTTCCTGAACACAGGAGTATTTTCCTACTTGTGAAATCTGAAAGCTCTCTCACATTTAGTGAATGTAATGTTTTACTAATTAAAGTCCCAAGGATATTAACAGAATGTTAATACTCTTCTGAAACTGCAAAGCTTCTATTACAAAATATCTAATGAGCACAGTTAGATTTTTACCAGTTAGAAAGACTGAGTCTCAATGAACAAAACTTCCAACTTTAATTCTATTTTAAATGAAATGTTTAAATTCCATGATTACCACATCATAGCTTTGTTTTCAAATTCATTTTGCTAAAACTAAAATGTCTTAAGACATTGTTTTTAAAAAAGCAAAGCTTTTGGAAATGCAAATTGAAAAGTGGTTTTATAAAGCTGTGAAACTTCCAGTCCTAAATTCGACTTAAAATACCTTTCCTAACAAACCAAAAGGCCAGTTACTGCAACATCTTACAATTTAAGTGGCAAACTACTTTTTTTTGTTTTATACACACAGTACTGTCAACGTGGTTACAGGTCTTTCTGTAAAACTGGATATCCAACTCTACTTCAAGATCAGCACTTGTCTAACCTCTTATGAAAAATGGGATTCTGCTATGAACCACTATTCATAATCCAACTATCACAAGTTTACTCAAACAAAATTATATCCGGTCTAAGATTAGCAAGCGCCACCTACAATTTCATTTTTCTACTTCCATGCCTGAAAGCTCCACAAGAGATGTAAGTAATTGTCCATAGTCAGAGATATGTTCCTAGTCAATACAAGTTTCATGAAAGCTGCAAAAAGTTGCCAGCACTTACCATTTCCGTCTACAACAAAAAAGTACCAAAAAAAAAAAAAAAAAAAATCGAGTACATAATTTCAGAAATATCAGACAATCAGAAATCATGAAATTCCTCAAAACTAATTAAAACACGTAGAGAGAGATCAGCTAGCTAGGAAGTTTTTGGGGGAGATTTTTGTTTGTTTGTTTGTTTTTTTTATAAACGAGGTGTGGGGACAGGGTCTGGATGACAGAATACCAAGTAAAGAATAATTAACATCACAAAAACCAACTCAAGGACAAGCATAATACTTTAAAATTATTTAAATCCTTTAACAAAACAGAATGTCTTCAACTTGAAATTCATTTCTGCTTCTACTTTCAAAGATGCATAAAAACAATACTTGTAGCTAATCCACATGGAATTTCACTTCAACTTACATACTGTAATGAAATAAATTAAATACAGTACAAACTATTTTAATGCTTGCTAAGAGCTTTTTGTGCTGATCAATGTTAAAATATATACATGCGCTAGAGATGCTAGTTTTGAGAAGTGACTACAACCACACACAATTCCAAATCTCCCCCAAAACACCTCTTAAATATAACCTACCTGTCTTAAGTCATCCTCTTTATAAATACAAAACCTTTGTAAGTCTATGTTACTTTTTAAAAGTTTTAGGCAGCAGCCAACTAGCAAAATCAAAATACAAAAAGCTGATGCTCCAGCAGACTCTCGCAAGACACTGAAACATCCAACTTCCAGGCATCATGCCATCTAGTAAAATCATCAGCCTTGATCGAGGGGAGCAAGGGTATCTATATAAAACACATATGGAGAATTAGCCAGGAGCAATGCAGAGGCTGATTATCTAGGAGAGTTCCTCCCTACACTTGGAATTCCAAGCCATGAAACTTCTCCTGAAAGCAAATGCCTAAACCCTTTCTGCAAAAAAAGACCACATAAATCAGATCAAAATGTCTAATAATTTAGCAGTTAAAACTCTTACTGGGCAAGGTCTCCAAGTTCAAATCTATACACTGTCCAGTATAGAGTAAGGGTTGATCCCATACCTCCCACACTAAGGTATTATGTATTCACTGGAATAGCTTCCCCTTTGAGGAGAGATTGAGCAATAACACCATGTGAAAATAATCAGTACCCTGATAATTAAGGCATTCCCCCTTGAGATGCAGAAGAACAATGTTCAGTAGGTGACTGACATCACTAAATCATAAAATCGCAATTCCATCATAGAAACCATATTTAGTACTATTCAACCAACAAATGATGCATTCTAGGCAAAAGTTTCATACACTGACTTTAAAGTAATCAGGGACCACCTGGAAAGACAACTAAGGAAAACCCCTATTTTTAGTCTCATATGGGGGCCTCTGTTTAAGCTAGGGCTCCAGCTGTAGGGAAATATCACCCCTTGGGGATTTTGCATGTATTCACTGATAAAAAAACAAAAACCAAACTTACACACCACCTTAGCTGAGCTGATTCTGAGACTATCAGAAGTACCTAAATGGTACTCTGGAAGACAGACAGAGGATAAGGGCCTTGGTCCTTAGGTCATGCAGTTACACACCTTACCCCATAATTAAGTTCTAAATTTTCTTCCCCACATAAGATGGGGGAGGATGGGAATGACAGGGAACTTAATTTAGAATTTAGTGCACAAGTAACACACAAAAAGAATGGGTAGGATACCTAAAAGAGTACAATTTAATACCTTCCAGATGCTAGATAATGAGCAGTTATCCCATTAAAAACTGTAAAGGACTTCCTTCTTTAGGTTTCACAGAATAAAGAAAAAAACCTCAATTTTCTTGGTTTAATATTCTAGTACATCCAATTACATTTTGCCAGTTGGCACATGCAGCATTCTTCCTTCATAAAGTAACTGCTCAGAATCTGCAATAATGTATGTACAAGGAAAATTATGTTTAATATTGGAAACCAACTCATCTGCAAAGCATCTTTAAAAATACTTTGCAAAGTGGTTTTAAAAACTACACGTCTACTGTACTTAATTCAAGTACAGTAACTAAAGTTCAATTTAAATCATTTTACATTATCTGTAAAATTTTACTGTAAAATAGTAATTTTACAATTTACTGTACAAATACAAGTACAGTAACTAAATAAAGTTTAATTTAAATCATTTTACAATTTAAACCCCAAAAATAGGTTTATGTTTTTTTCTGGGCGAGCACAAAAATTCTGTAACAATACTAAAGATACCATTCAAATGCTGAGCTAAGTAAGAGGCCAAATCATTAATAGCCTACAACTCCCTTGCCAAGAAACACAAAGTAAGTATACGTAGATTCAAAGATAAATGCAAGTTCTGTGTTGTTGGCTTCTCTCATTACACCTTTGAAAAAGACTTTTTAAGGACAAATCTTAAAAGTGAGACAAACAAAATCTGGTTTCTTTTCTTGCTCCTAGTTTTTTTTCTCCCTACTTTCTTCCCACCCTTAACTTTCAAAATTACAGAATTATGCTATTAGGAATATTATTACGTGGATGTTTATGCTATATTGTTTGAGCAGATATTATTACTGCAGATGTTCTACTAACCTATAGCATGATGATGCAGTCTTGTATTACTATTCAAGTTATGTCATCAAAATAAAGATTTAAAAAAAATTAAGACAGTTCTAAAATGACAGTAAAGCATTATTTGGTATGTTCATAAAATAAAATAAAAATCAGGAATGTACATCTCAAGGGTCATCTGCTGATGCCAATACACTTATCTGTTAAGTATTCAACATTTTAGACTGAGTACTAAATCAACATAACGTTACAAATTCGATCTTTCATTTAGCTATCTGCATATTCAAAAACTCAAGTGCATTTGTAGTTGCAACTGTGACGTAATTCTCCCATGTTTTGAGAAAACTGTAAGCAGTTTGTCCTGATTGTGAAGCAGAACATATTCTCATTCAGCACTACTAGACAAACTTCTGGCCCTTAATCTAATTTTCAATGTTTATAATTTCCAAATGTAAAGTCTTAATCCTTGCATTAAGGATGTTTTATTTTAAAGAACAGATAAAAATAAAAAGCGGGTTCTACCTACAGCATCTGTAACCACCTCCATTTCTGATGGAAAAATAATGACAGATCCTTTCACAATGTTGGCAACACGAAGTCTAACATCTGATGCTTTTATAATGCATCCCTTTAAAAGGCCAAAAGAACTATATGGTTCTAATGCTTTATGGTTTCACTTGTTAGTCCTAATGGCATACCAATATTGCAAAAAACTCTCTCTCTCTCAGTTTCACATATCCAAAACAATGCTTCAGTCAGTTAACAAGAACCTAACTATTCTCATTTGCAAAAAAGACAGGGGCTTTATACCTACAGGAATGACCAGTAGGAAGTAAAGTTCAATGGCTACGTAATATTAGCTTTCACTGAAGTTTGTTTTTAAATTAAAAGGATAAAGGTAATTGCTTATTTTCTTGTATTTGAACACAAGTATCTACAGTCTTTAGTTAAACCTCAGGTTTAACTAATAGAAATGCGATCAAAGGGATCCATTTGTTACCCATTTGCACACGCAAGCTAACACTAAGGCTATGCATCTGCTAAAGGTATTTCTGATTCAAGAAGCTAAGATACCAAATTAAGACAATACACAGCTGTTTAAAAAAAACAAACAAAAACACCAACCTCCTCCCATCTTCTATTCGAACTAAACCCAACTGACAAGTTAAGGAGAGGCAGAGAATTACTTTGAGCATGGGCGCCTAAGTCATTATCTGGGAGTGTCAGTGAGGCATGACACCAAAATAAGGTAAGTGCCAGTGCAGGCCAGGGGAGAAGACTCCAATTCCAATTGAGCACTAACGTTAATCTTTTGCAATCGCCATTAGCTGCACGTAATCCCCGTTAACCTGCCTGACATGACTGTCAGGGATCAAAGGACTTCTTCTCAGCCCCTATTTTCTCCCGCCCGGCACCAGCGGCGCGGCAGGCCCAGACCCCCTGCTCAGTCCCAGGAGCTCGCACTCCCCGCACCGCACCGCGCCCCCAGCACAAAGGCCCGGCGCGGTCCCGAGGGCAGAGGCCCCGGCAGGCGCGGAGGGACAGGCTCGGCCGGGCCGGCTCCGTGTCAGCGCGAGGCCCCGTAGGGAAGGGCCGCGGAGTCGGCGCTCCAGCGCGCTCGGGCCCGGGCAGCGCCGGGGGATAAGAGCCCACTGCAGGATACAGGTCAGGTCCAAGTCGAAGCCATCCTCCTGGTATCGCCTTTTGTTCCTGCTGACGATCTCTTTGATGATGGCGGTCATGTCTGGGAGCCGGGGGCCGCCGAGAAGCCGCGCGGGCAGGCAGGGCAGCGG